CTTCTTTCATATATTAAAACAGTACTGTTGCTGCTGATAATAAAGTATTTGCACCCACTCTTCCAGAGAGGCTTCCAGAGTAGCCAGCTCAACTAAAGCTGTCAGATAGCACATTTCCCACCCATCTCCTACCCCTTTTCCACATTTTTCCTTTCCTCTTTTAAACTAAATGCTCAAAGCTCTGATGAAAATGTCATGAAAGCCCTGAAGAAGAAACTGGAGCTCAAGAAGTTAAATAGTGTGAATACACTCAAACGATGAAAATCTGAGCAATATCTAAATAGAGCTGGAGAGCACCCTACAGGGAGAGGAGAAAGCAACTGAACATGCAGAGTAAAGAAGGAGCTTTGCAGGCACAGTTAAGGAAACTGCTCACTCTCTCCTTTAGAAGAGAGAGGCACATTTCAGCTGCTCCATTCTACACAAAACTAAAGAAACTATCCACAAAGCTTAAATATTTACTATGAAATAATGTCAGAATTTTCCAGTTTCAGGTTTGAAGAGGTAACTAACTCTCCTAACTAAAATGCATTAATCTACTACAGATGCTAATGTAATCCAGATGTTTTTCCCCACTAGAATTAGTTAGTTCTCATGAGATTAACTGTCTAAAGGTTTAGAGAGAAACCAGGAAACCTGCAGGCACCAGGTTCTTGTGTCTTTTTTTCTTTTTAAATCAAGTTGTTCCACTTCTGTGTTTTTAGACTAATGAAAGACACAGAAGATTAAAAAAAAAAAATACAGAGAAGGAAAAAACACTGCTGTTACGCTTTAATTATGTATCTATAGTGCTTAAACCAAGGAACTGACCCTGACCTCTGCTAGAAAGAAGTGGGAAGGCAGCAAAACAGAACATAATGAAATCACGTAATGAATTATCTATGCATAAATTACCCTTTGAGTTCCAACTAATCCACTACTATTAAGCTAAACATCCACTTCCAAGCAGACTTGTGTTTACTGTTCCTTAACACAGTCATTTTTACTAAGACAAGAAAAGCAAGGTTTTCAAAACCAGTATTACTATGTATAGTGTGCTAAGGGAATCAATGTTAAAGGCTGTGACAAATTTCTGACTTCAATAGAGTATCAAGGCCCTGCTGTTACTTCAAAAATCTTTCAGTCCTAGTCCAGAGATGAAGGGAAGCAAGGAAAAATACCAAACTTTAAACACTGATTGCAGTAGCTTGTCTTCCCTTATTCTGAACGTCACCTTTACTAGCAAATCCAAAACAAAAAAATCCACCATCAGAAATTACAAGAGGATCGTCATTAGTCCTGTATTTATTTGTTCCGTTAAAAAACATGCCAATGATCCAACATTTCAAATCTCTCTTCCAGCAAAGTTGAACTCTCACAAGGTCAAATAAAAATTTTCAGACTCTTGAGGGATACAGTCCTGAAAAGTTTGCCAGTGCTTTTACAGTGGAATGTTCTAAGAGAATCCAGGCAAAGAAACTTCCTTCCTACTAGCTTCTGAACAGAGGAGCTAAAAATCCTTCACACTGCCACTCATTTCATTTACCCAACATGCAACTAATTTTGCCTACTTAAATCAGTGAACTGATTTTCCTCAAATGGAACAGTTTTCCCACTTGAGTGAGGAATATAGAACAAGCCAAGTCTGAAGCCTTTAACTTCAACTGACTAGACTTCATGATCATAAAATATTGCTCCCGGTCGTCTTTTTTTCTGCTTCCCTCTGAAATACCCATTATTGGCTGCAGTTAGAGAAGGGACACTGACCTCAGACAGGTTGGTGCTCTGATGAGAAGGCTCAGGTAATTTTCTTAGGTGACTAGCTGCTATTTTGCTTAAGTGCTATAGGTCATAATGATTACCAAACTCAGTGACAGGAAGGAATATTTTCTAGTGAGAGCAGCAGGGACAGTAATAGTTTTATTCTTTCTTCATAGCATGAAGTAGCTCACAATTAGGCTGAAACATTAGCTTCATTAACATCACTTAACATGGCTTATTTAAATGAAGTCTTAAGGTATCATGACTTGCTGGTCCTTCATGGCCCTAACATCTTCGAAATGTAACAAGAAAGATACCTGCACAAATGAGAATTATAAATAATACTTTCGCACAGGAAGAACAATGTAAAAGGAGTCAAATTAGATATTAAGATGCTAGTTTTACTACTTGTAGAACAAAGTAGTTTTATTATTTAATACTATTTTATTAATAAACCCTTCTTTACTTATATTCAATTGAATTAAGATGCCATTAAAATAGATAGATGGTCTACAGTGACTCATTATTTTCTTTATAAACCTATTACTCCTACTGAAAAAAAATTTGTATAAAGAGTTTAAAAAAACCCCTCTTCACTTTTAAGGAAAAAGCCATACAAGAAACAAAATCATTACCTTAAAATTTAAATTCTTCGACTTTTGAAACTCTGGTGAATTTCACAGAAATACCAACAAAATTTGCTTTACAAAATGTGTTCTGAATTCCTCCAAGTTCACTGTTTCAAGAAATTGGAATATATTACAAATACTTGCATATAATTCACAGTTTTGAGGGAAAAAAAATCCTTATACTGCCCATCTCAACATCTGCAGCCAAAATAGTGTTTTTAAAAATCCCCTCAGGTCACACAAAGCACAAGCAAGCTACATTTTGGTAACATTATTTTACCGGGACTCTGCATTTAAAGAAACACTGCTCCTTTCTCTTTGTTTTTGGCCAATGTTTCTCCTTAATGCATCAATCTCAATCCAGATTAAGACAACTCACTTTATCTCCAAAAAAAATACAGCAAGGCAGAAAGGTTCTTGGGAATACCTTGTTCTGGCCAATTTTCCCCTCAGTTCAACACTGATGCTCAGGGATCAGTTGAGTGGGTCCCAACGTATATTCTTTATCACTTTTCCTCCCATACTCCTCCACCAAGACAGTTTGCAGGATTCAACAAAAATCCTGAGAGATCTACAGAAATCTAGGCTTATTATCGACTGATTTGTGACATGCCAGAGAAGAGCTGGCCATTGCAGAAAACTGAATACCTCAGAAAAGTATCACAGAGGTCTTTCACACTGTCAACATTTCCAATGGCTACTGAAATCAGGTTATGAAGATTAAAAGCAACTGAATAACACAGCCTTCTTCTGAAGAATCCCAAATGCAAGCAATGATTTGTTTAACTCGATAAACAGTAATATGCTCTCGAAAAATTCCTAAGAGGACTTATATGATCTAAAACACCCTAGTAAAAGCATAAGGACAACAGTAAATATGAGCATAGCATGCACAGAGCTTGATTAATCCCCATTACAAATTAACGGATCAAGAGACAAATGAGTGCATATATTTGGTGATGCATAATAATTACCACAGGTGAAACAAGCTGTAGAAGTCTTTAGCAACATTCCATGAAGAGAAAATAAGCACTAGCAACTAAACTGACTAAGTTCTATACCCGCATGATGAACGCTAATCAGCTAGTGTGTAACTTAGGGGCCTGGCAGGTGCAGAGAAAGCTGGAAGAGCACTCCAGTTCCTTTTCATGATGAGACCATTCTAAAAATATGTATCGGTACCAGCAGGCAAGAGAAAAAACTACAAAATGGCATACAAAGTAGGTGACAAGGAGGCCTCCAGGAGGGAGGAAAAATGCAAACAGACAGATGAGTCGAAAAGCACAACCTTACCAAGACAAAAAAATCCCTCATAAAAGCAGTGAAACAATGACTCAAAGAACAAGAAAAACTACGTAATTAACTCACTCGCATGGAAAAGACTAATTTTTTACATGCCTTAAAGGAAAGGTGATCCTTCTACCAAAATCCTGGCATGGCCCAGAAGACCAACAAGGTTAGAGTCCCTGCTATTGTGAACTTCCCCACAGGCTTCGGGTATTTAACTTCCTGCCTCTATCCCAGAGCCATGTAGGTATAATGGGAATATTAACACTTGGTTTTTCTTAGTTGTCTGTGAGGATAAATGGTCTAAGATTAAGGCATGCAGATACTGTTTATTTTATGGTTTTTACTTTATACTGTTTTGACAAACAACTATAAACTGCAAAATTATAGCAAATGATTATTTGAGATCACCAAAATTGAAACAAATTAATTTTTGACATTTTAGCTGTCATGCAAAAGTTTGCCATATAGCATTTCTTAATTTCATTATACAATGGGCTATGACACCACTACAGTTCTGCAAGAAACACAACATACTGGACAAAGGACTGAATTCCTTTGCCTATGCAAAAAGGTGACCTCAGCACAACCTGAATCACCAGCCAAAACTGAAATTTAAGCTTATGGTGGGACAGGGGAATAGCAGCATGGAAACATTTCGGTCTAAATTTGCCAGGTCAAATCCTCTATTACCACCACTGAGGCTCTGACTGACCTACTTTGTGACACTGTAATGCAGCCTGACTTGTTCATTTTGGTACAACAAATGGAACCTGCAAAATTATTTTTTTCATTTCATTTCATTTCAGCCACTTAGAATTTTCCCTGTGATTTCAGGAACAATAAACCCCGAAGCTCATTATTAAACCTTTTGAGAACACCTAGTTTCCTCTTGTTTCAGCTATGCAGCTGAGGTGACATTTTACCTGAAAAAAATCATTTTAGAATTATATGGTTCACCTGACTGGTTCTTTATTGATATATAATATACTACACCTAAGAACATCTTCTACCTAAGACATTAGACACCTGCAGGACTGAGTAGAAAGCAAAAACACTGACTGTACAACAGTAGCATATTTCCCCCTTAGCCTTATACTACAAACAACATAATAAAATCATTCATTTTCACCAATGATGGTACAAAAGACTGTCATGCACAAATATGTGCCTCAGTATGTGAATCGAGTGCATTTTTAGGATAGGAAAGGGACAAGAAGGAAGAGATCACAATGATGATGATCACAATAAAGATTCACAGGTGCAGCTGGAGCGAGAAGTCAGTCTTGTCTCGCATATTGATAAACCACACTTGAGTCAGCACCGAACAGAAGATATTCCTACCTGACAGGGAGCCGGGCCCTCTGAGCCAACAAAAGTTCTGTGGGTCCAGTAAGGTTCACCTCCCCATCCTGAAAGGATACCTGGGAAGCACCCTGTTGAGAGATTTCAAAGCACATTTTGAATCTACATACATATCGACACATATAGAACAATGGCTGTATATATATTTCTGAGTGAATATTTGGAAGAGAAAACATAAGTAACATCATCTCACTGACAGTGAGGACTGAAAGATCCATTGTGTATGCAGTGTACATAACAACGCATTCTGCGAAACAGGAGGGTATCTAAAGTCCTGCTCCTCACACCAGAGTCCCACTGTGCTTCCACTGGAGAAGCCTGTGGTACTGACTCCTCGTCTGCCTGTCGAACCCAGATGTTGCTCTTTCTCATCCTGAGCCACCTCCCTTCTCACAATGGATTCCGCAGACCTTGGATAAACCCAATGGCTTTTTTTCTGCTCTTCCTGTCCCCTAGTAGCATTTATCTGGTAAAGACATATTTTCCCAGTAACTTCACAGAAAAAGAAATTATGTAACTATTTGGCCAGACACAAAAATACAGTGCACACAGGGACCTGACATTAATGCTAAAGCTCTTGAAAACTATTATTTAACTTTCCTTTTTTGATCCTTAGACTCTTAATGTTTGCATTTTTTCCATACTGTGAGCGGGAAAGAGGTACCAATGAGATAAGTCCACTGTCAGCAGGTGATATATTAGCTTTAATGTACTGTACTTCATTGCGACCCTTATGGCAATAATGTAAACAGAGCAAAATTTGTAACAAAGACCTTCTTTGGAGAGGTCACTTCTGCCAACTCTGCAACAGGAATATAGCTGGAAGACATAAATCTTCAGCTGTCAACACAGTAAGAGAATTCAATTCAGAGCTTGATCTTAACTAGATAAAGCCTAAAGTTAACCATTATTTTTTTGTTGTTGCAGTGGTACAGTTTTCCAGTGTATATACTTGCCATATCAAGTTGTCTCAAGGCAAAAGGTAGAAACGTTATAAATTAATTCCAAAGAACAAAGCCAACTAGATAGGTAATTTAATTTTCAATAAAAGCTCTACACTGTATATTAAAACTTCCAATTTCTCTCAAAAGATGGCAAGACTCAAAAAGATGGCTTTAAAGGTTTGGTGTTTACAGTCCCTCAAAGATTTGTAGAACTTCTTTTCAGAGGGTTGCTTTGCATTTTAAAAAAGAATCATGACCAGCCCCGCAAGCAAACCTTTGGAATATAAATCAAGCTGGATCCCCTTTTGGTTCACACACCACTTTTGAACCTATAATACTAGTAGCAATTCTCTTTGTGTGTTAATCAGAGCACAAGCCAACAGACTTGGCTTCCAGTGCAAGACCAATATAGCTCACTGAACGCGAACTTCTGTCACTAATGGTAGAACTATTTTAAAAAACGTGTATTGAGTATGTACCATCTCTTCCAATCACTTTTCACAGTGGAACCACATGTCAAGGAGCAATTCCTGTTATATGAAACATATTCCGTACTAACCTTGTAAATCAGGAACTCAACCTCACACAGTGTGTTAGCAACAGAAATCTGACACACAGCCTTCATATATTGACTTCATCTTGAAAAAAGAAAGCGCCTTGGTAGCAACAGATGCCAGAAGCAGACAAACCTCTTAACAATAATGCTCCCAACAAAGCTAACCCTTTAGCTAACCACTAAAACCACTGCTGCTACAAAGGCTCTTCTTTTTGGAAGGTTGAAAATGGCCAAGCCATAAGTAGATTTTGGGTTGTGAATTAACTACACTTTCTTTTCTTCCAGACACTGGCTGCAACACAGTGCTGCTCAGTGGATGACAGAGAACTTGCTACTCGTGCCTCAGAACTGTTTTGCTATTTAAAGCCTCCCTTACAGGCTATACAAGTCTGCATAAGCTACATTATTTCTCTATTTCTGGGCTTTTGGTTACTGTAGTGAGGTTACGTCCATACTTGTCCTCCATGTCCACTTCCTCAGGAAACAGATTTCACCGCAATGGCAAATACGAATGTTCAGAACACAATCTCATCTCACATTTCTGTTGACTGATTCACAGGTTTTAAACCACAAGGAACCATTTTTTGATCAACAAGTCTAATCTTATAGTAGGAATTAGATTTGTTTAGTGACAAAGCACAACATTGGTAAGGGCACAGTTACACTCCAAGATAAGTAAGAGGTTCTTACAAGAAGATGGCAACCAACAGTTTTCTTTACTGCTAAAGACCAGATCAGCAAAAAGTGTCTCAAAGCTGAATAATTGGGTCATTACAGATGTCAGGGGTATTGGACCTTCAGTAGAGGTCTTAAAAAACAGATTTAAAAATACATCACAAATGTTTCAAGGCACGTTCATTCCTGTGACAGAAAATAATAGTCCAGTCTTGTGAGGTGCCTGACAGTCCCACATTTTCAGCACTCCACAAGATAAAACTTCTGCGAGGAATTAGAGGATGAAGTTTGGAGCCCGTAACTGCAATTACAGCTTTTTTTTTTTTTTTTTTTTTTTAATTTAAGGGTAAAAGCTCCTCAAGAAAAGTTACCCTGTCCTGAGCCAGACAGAAGTGTGTTGAGGGAGTTCAGAAATGCCACAGAGGGAAGTTTAGTGTCACAGCCCCCATCCTGCACACCGCCACCTGTTTTGATTTGAAGGCATATAGTGCTCACACATATCACAGATTATCACATGCTCAAGCCAGTAAACACAAAGCCAGATATATTTAAAGTCTTAAGTGATCAAGGAAACATGAACCATAACACTGAAATTATAATTGAGCTCTCTGAGAATGACATGAGAGCTCCAATCACGTAACAATCACTACAAATGGACAAATTCCTTTCATACTTCAGCATTTCATTAGAAGCACAGTAAATTTAAACAGACCATCTCCTGCTCAACTAGCAGAACGATAGAAAACCAACAATGCACAAGTAAAGACACTATTAGAAGACAATGATCCAATACATGCAGAAATTCTCCATCTCTTGTTAATATTTTAAAGACTGATTGTCAGTTTTTCAATAGTAGCAGAATTATTGACACTGACTGCCAAAACTTGACTCAAATTCAGCTGACAGTGTAACAGACTTACAGTGACAGAATTGCAGTTTTCACTTAGGAAATAGGAATAGAATGCAAAATAGTGTGGTAAAAACAAAAGCCAAGAAAGCATATGCATTTAAGAACAATGGAAGTTTTTTAATTTATTTACATAGGAATAATTTGAATTAGGCAATTTTTCTTAGTGTGGCAAAAAACATGTTCTTCAAATTAGGACTAAAGCAAAAAAGAGGGATCCTATTAAATAATAGCCTTCTGCAAACAACTGTAACCCAAATACTTGAGAGTCTCATATTCATTATGTGACAGCTCTCAAATTAGGTAAATATGTATGTGTAACAGTAGAAAGAGTGACAAGTACATACCAGTAACATTTTCACTCTGTGAACATGCACAACCTTCTCAATTCAACAGTCAGCATGGACATATATTAGCCCCAGCAACAAATATGCTGGAATCAGTCACGGGTCTCATTGAGGTTAGGGAATATGATAAATTCTCCATTTTTTCCTTAATTTTTGAAAATGCTCCTTTCATAAAAACCACAAAACGTCTAGGAGAAAAAAGCAATAGTGGCACTTCTGCACAGAGACATGAAAGTATCAGATTCTGGCTAGAAAAAGAGAAAGGGAGAGACAGAATTGGCTGAAAATGGTAAAAACAACTGTTTTTACTTCAAACAAAGGGTGCAGCCCTGAGCAGCTAACAGAGGAGACAGCTGCCCTGACAGCCCAGCTACCAACCAACCCCACTGCTCTGGTTTCTCACTATCATCACAACCCAGAAAACCGGGAACTTCATATTTTTAAAAAAGCTGCACCAAATCTGTTTTCTAACTAAACTCTAGTTATAGTGTAGATTTGCATTACATTTGAGCTGAAAAGAAATCATCTGTTGGGGTTCTTCTGCAGCAAAATTTTGCACATTCACCCAAGAGTGGATTATACCACCTAGCCCAGTAAGACAGATTTTAAAATATTCACGGGCTGCCAGTGGCCATAAAAAGGCCCTAAATCACCTCAGTTCTCCTTGATAGGCTTAGAACACTATTCTTAAGACAAGAAGTAAGTTTGCAGGTAGTATAAAATTGCAAATATATCACTTTTATAAAAGCTAAATAGTGAAAAACATACTCTTCTACTCAAAAAAAAATAATCTTATTAAACAATAACCAACATGAGACAAATCTCAGAACTGGGCGAATTTAGAGAATAGGAAGAACAATTGGAGAAAATCCTGAGTGCAGGGTATACTTGGAATATAAAATGATCATCAAACACTAACAATAAACTTGAAGGAAATAAATAAGATCTATTAATAAGAAATACACATGGTATCTACTCAAATTAGGACTGAAGCAGTCTGGTATACCCAAGGGAAAGTATCTTTATCTGAAACTTTCTTTTAATGACAAAGTTAAAAGTGAAAATGTATGTCTGAAGTTCCAGTTTAATGTATTGTATTCCCTGAGGGCATCTGCTTTCTAAAACAAACGAAAGGCATCCAAACCCTAAAGCAGAAGCTCATGGAATAGGGTGGCAGGCTGCAGAGCTTGCTCTCCCTTCTTGGCCAACAGTAAACCTTCTTTCTTCCAGGAAGGTTCAGTGGGAGTTCAGATCCTACCAACATAACAAACAGTCAGATGCAAGGAAATCTGGGGGTGAAAGGGATGCTTAGTTTACAAATGCAGGAAATGTCTCATCTACTGCTCTCACAACAATCTTAATTACCATATTTAAAAATTGAACATTTTTAGCAACACTTTCAGGATCATGTGAGCCTTTCTGACAGCCAGAATGAGCTTAAAAAGCCATAGCACTATTTTTAGCCTTAAAAATCAGCACTTTCATAAATATTCGCAAACCAATTAGTCTGTGCTACAAAGTAAAGGTGTTTACCTTTAGCAACAGCAACAAACACAACAGCTGACACTGCATACAGAAGACGATCCCCAAGACCATATAGCGCAACGAACACTCATAAAGGTTCTTTTTCATTCAGTAATAA